TCATAATGAAAGTAATTAAAACTAAACGCGTTCGTAATTTATAGGTAGAGTTTAACGTTAACCGTAGAGTACTCTCTTAGTGACGTAATTCGTAAATTTTCGTGGCTGAATTATTGCGATTATTAGCATTAAGTTAATCGTAGTGTGGTCCTACGGAGCCCACTGTAAAAGAATCGTAATATTATATTATTTATTTAGAATTTTAAAGACATAGCTGTAAAAACTAAAAAAAAAATTATTTTAATATTTTTTGTAAATGCTTATCTTATCTTTGACCAATAATTGACTCCTATCATTGATCAATAAAGTAACTATTTATTCTATGTATAATGTTTTTAAAAATACTTCTCAACGATGAAAGTACCTACAGAAGTGTCTAGAACTGTTGCTCTCAAATGTACTAAATATTATTGTAAATTGCCTTAATTATTTACGAAAACAGCTCCTGAAACATAAATATTAATAGAATATAAATATAATAGCATTCGGTCCAATTAGCTAAAGACGGGCACTGACTGTCGAAAATGTTCATATATTTTTTTTTACTTTCTTGCTGTCCGAGATTTTATACAATAAATTAAATATGTTAGTTATATGTTAGTTATAATAATATATATAATTGGATGCGACTGCACACAGTGAAGTAACCTTTAAGTATCGGGGAGAAAGTATTTGTTAGATTTTATTATTATTACTAGCATTGCACGCGGCTCCGCCCGCGTTCAGATGACCAAAAACCAAATTCTTAAGTTTTACATATTAGTATATTCTTACATTGCAGTTTTTGTATTTTTTCTCAAAAATGAGATATTTTCCTGCGGTAAAAAGTATCCTATATGTTGACCCGGATAACCAGCTAACATCATACCAAAATTCATCAAAATCCCTCCAGTGGTTTTTTCGTGATGCGGTAAAAGACAGACAGACAGACAGACGGACGGACGGACGGACGGACGGACGGACGGACGGACGGACGGACGGACGGACGGACGGACAGACAGACAGACAGATTCCGCCTCTGTATCGATAATAATGTCTATTTCAATAAGATTTTCCAAAAAATACTTAATGTACAGATTCGGCTTAGTTACAATTTTATGATATGTATAGATTAAATTTAATTGTATTCACAATTATAAAAACTAATTACTATGGATTATTAATCTGAAATAAATACTTACTTATTATTATTATAATAAACATTTCAACAAGATTTCGAAAATATTTGATTAGGTATGTATTAAATAGTTAGGCTTGGCTAAGTAATTAACTTAGCCAAAGCACACCGACTTCGAAAATATTTGATTAGGTATGTATAGTAAATGAAAACTACCAATCAGTTATTTTTTACTTTTTAGTGCTTTTGTTTGAAGTCGGTTTTAATTTTTTTGTTAAAAATTTTTATTTTTCCCTTTTTAGTGTAGACAGTAGTAGCAAAGTAAGAATTCTAACGTGTTAGGCTTGTCACATCAAACAAAATAAGCCCAAACTCAAAGTATCTACTATTAGCCGTTGAAGAGTTCCACCTATCCACCTTCTGGCCTTACCATCAGATCAGGTCAACAATACCGAACCACTGTACTATCAACGGAAATAGAAACACATGCAAAGTTTCAAGTCAATATGAAAATTAGAAGTAGGTTAAATTCATCATTAGCTATTTTTCCACCCTTAGGGGTGGTATTTTTTTTTGAAATTTAAATGGGACCAATCTGGAAGTATACACTTTCAAACAAAATAAAAATTGTCCAAATCGGTTAATAAATGACGGAGTTCTGAGGTAACAAACATAAAAAAAATACAGTCGAATTGAGAACCTTCTCCTTTTTGAAGTTGGTTGATAACAACTGTTTGTTTACAGTTTTGAGTTTTCACTTCTGTCGGCAGTCCTCATGACTGCTTTTTTATAGATATTCGTGATGTAGGTTATGGTAACTACTTACCATCATGCTGGCAGTTTGTTTGTTTATTTGAGGTGATAAGATCTCTGTAGTTTAAAAAATTACGAAAACTAGTGTTAACCCAGTAGTCGAATTCGACAGTAATTATTACTGAAAACTTGAGGAAGACACATACCTATGTAAAAAAACTATTTCTCATAAAGATATGGTCAAATCCATTATATCTGTTAACAGCAATTTTTTATTTATTATTACCCATCAAGAGGAAATTGCTATATTTTTATAGATAAACTATCACATCCGTTATAAAACTAATATAATTTATTTAATAATAAATCCAACGCTTATTTGTTAGTTCAGCTTTATTTATATTTTAATTCTAAGTTGTATATTTGTATAATTTTTCATCCTCTTCACAGGATGACCGTATTACAATTGGTGTAGGCAGTCCTAAATTGTAACTGGATTGAATTGAGAATTTTCAACTTGAATCTTGATCTTGTAATTTTGATCTCGATATTTTCGAAGTCGGTGCCAGCCGTCAATATTTTAAGATATTCAATATCTAATAGGTAAATATGATTAGGTATGAACTCTAATTAGAGTTAAAATATTATACATCAATTTGTGATATATTTTACGTATCGAAATATATTAGATTTTCTTGGCTTCGGCTGGCACTCACTTCGAAAATATCTAATTAGGTTCTAAATGAAAACCCCCGTTTAGTTATTTTTTACAGTTTTAGTGCCTGTGAGTCGGTTTATATTATTTTTTAAAAAGTTTTTATTTCATGCTTACTCGTATATAAAATATTTTGTAACATTAATCGTATTAAGGTATACTTATATTTCGTATATTATACATATAATCGAATTGCTTCATGTATTGTCATATTAAGGCATCACTAACTAAAGTCTATTAATTAATAAAATTATTCTTTAAAAACTAAAAAACTCTGTGAGATTTTACTGCTACAAACATAATCTATCTATACTAATATTATAAAGAGGTAAAGTTTGTGATCTTGTGAGTTTGTGAGTTTGTGACGTTGTAGGGGGTAATCTCTGGATCTACTGAACCGATTTTCAAAATTCTTTTACCAATAGAAAGCCACGTTCTTTCTGAGTGTCATAGGCTATATATTAACCCGAAGACCGAAAAGGCTTTTTCGTGGTAATCGGATTTGCAAAGTAAGTCGGAGAAAAAACGGTCGAACGAAAACGTTTCTTACGAACGCTGCCTTAACGATGAGAGATATATGATTATGTTCTAGAGAAAAGTTGTAGAGCTTAATAATGCCTACAAAAAAGTCAGCGACAGCATATGTCTAACATTTATATTTAAGTCACAAAAAGTAGTTTTTTATATTAAAAAAATAATTTAAATCGGTAGGTCATGTTTATTGCTCATATTATCAACAATTATGAATTCTTATCAAAATAAGTAAATTTATCGTCTGAAATATTTAAAACAAAAGACTTTTTCCTTTTACTGCATATAATTTGGACAAATGGTTAAAGAGATAATACAACATATTCGTATGTATGTTCGAACCCGAGCGAGCTGTTTGTCTGTTTTTCTGTTTGTACAGGCTAATCTCCGAAACTGTTTAAGCGATTTAAATAAAATTTTGCATGGTAGTACCTTATATCCTCGGTCAACATCTAAGTTAATTTTCATTCCAGAAAATTAAAGAGTTTCCGTGGTATAGTCAAAAAACTATAGTAACTTATACAGCTTAGTACACAACAACTTACGCACCTAATTTAGTAAAATTTGGCATGCTGATACCTTATATTGCCGGTCAAACAACAGGTTACTTTTCATCCCGGAAAAATGAACGGTTTCCGTGGGATAGATCTGTTTGTGCCTTTCTAGAGGTGAACCCGAGCGAAGCGAGGGTGAGCCGCTAGTACATATAATAAAATTGTAACTAAGTCGAATCTGTACATTAAATATTTTTTGGAAAATCTTATTGAAATAGACATTATTATCGATACAGAGTCCGAATCTATAGTTTTTAGAATTTTTGTCAGTCTGTCTGTCTGTTACCGCATCACGAGAAAAACACTGGACAGATTTTGATGAAATTTGGTATGATGATAGCTGGTTATCCGGGTCAACATATAGGATACTTTTTACCGCGGCAAAATATCTCATTTCTGAGAAAAAAATACAAAAACTGAATTGTAAGAGTATACTAATATGTAAAACCTAAGAATTTCGTTTTTGGTCATCTGAACGCGGCCGCGGGCAATGCTAGTTAATTATAAGCGTCAATAACACTTATTTGCCGCCATCGCTTTATTCGGACTATTTAACAATTACTTATTTAATACAAATAACTTATTGTAATATTTATATGTATATATAATACTAGCGACTTACCATCGCCTTGTTCTGGTTCGTCCATAATCATATCACAGTACGTGCCCATTTATGCCCCCCTTTGGCCCATAAACTATTGCAATTCAAATCAGCTATCTGCAAAAGTCCAATCAAAATCAGTCCAACCGTTTCGGAGATTTACCAGAACAAACAGACAAACAAAAATTTTAAAAAATTGTTCTTTCGTACCGTACCGTAATTATTTCATATGCATTTAGTAAACAGCTGGTATTGACATTAAAACCAGACATTTCAATTTTATTTATCTGTAAGGATATACGTCGAGAATGAATTATAATATTAGCAAGTATGTCTCTTTTTTACTTAGATTAAAAAGAGATAGATGTCGAACGATTTTTAGTTATTTAATGCCTCAATATCCATAATAAAACTCTAACACTGATTAATTAACAGACAGCCTTTGTGTGACTAATTAGTAGCCACTTACTACCTACTTATATAACTTTGGTACTTGCCTTTGATACCCAGCCGTTTCGGGTTTATGAGCATACATACATGCCTACTCAAGATTTTTATAGATATACTGAAAGTGAGCTGTAAGAAGGGAATTTTTATAAGTCATTCTTCGAAAGGGTTAAATAGAAGTCAATTTGGCAATTGCAATCCAAATCATGGGGTTCACTGTTTTCTTTATTAATAAACTTATTAAAATGTGCAGATCTAAATAGTGTTTATATTGTACTATTAATGGATATGTTCCATTCTGTTCTTGAAATTGTACCACAAACGAGGTTGGAAATGGTCAATGACCTGGAAATTCCTGAAGATATCTCAGTAACACCGTATGAATGGTGTGAAGAGACTCTAGATAGCGACAGCATTCCCTCGGTTAGTGTGGAAGAGTTCGACGTGAAAACTGTCAGCTCGGAGTCTAGTTTAGCTCTATCTAGAGCTATGACGGACTCGGAAATTGACTATGCGAGATATCGGCGCGTGAGTTTTTATTTCATAGTTTCTATTATAAACGTAAATCCATCATATTAACTGTATTTCATTTTAAATAAAACTATTTTCTCGGATTATTTTGATTTTTGGTTCCTGACGTTTCGAATGCTTTACAGCAATCATGGTCACGGGAGAGACTAAGGTTTTAGACGCCTAAAAGGCATTATATACTCGTTACAGACAGTGCCTACCCACAATTTTAGAAAAATGATTTCAAAAATTCAAAAAACGCACCTTTTTTTATAAGTATTATAATTAAATATAGCTATATTATTTTCTCTCTTCTCTCCTTATATATTTAATTTATTTGTAATTTATTTCACTTGTACTTATTCGAACACTTTTGAATCTTTAATAACAAAAGATAGTTATTAGACTCGGAATACAATTCTTCTAAGAATAATATTGCAAGTATCTGCTTATTTGATCTTTTTTTTATATTACAGTTGAAAAGCAGGAGCTTTAGTGACTCTTGGGTGCATATGAGAGCAGCTATCGAAGCGTTTCCCCCTGGATATCTAGACTCCTTGAATAGGTCAGTTCATTTTGTATTGTTTTCTATTTTAAGTTAGTTGGATATTCATTAGGTGAATGCTATTTGTGTGTTCAAAATAATTTCCTATGGATATTTAATCCGTTTACCACGTTTATATGAAAATACAAGTTTTATAATAACTTAGAAAATGTTTTAATATACTTTCAAAACAGATATAAATCTTGACGAAATTAATTAATTAAATTTCTTAATTTTTTGATATTGTTTAAAAACAAAACTTTTATTGTAGAGACTTGGAAATCGCATATCGCCATGTATCGAACACAAACAGCTACTAAACCAGGGATTTTCAGCAGATTAGTCTATTTCAATATTCACATTAACCACATTATGAATTAATTTCAACAAGAAATAAATTATAATAGGAATATACCTATACTTACTTAGTTTCCAAAATACCCCACCTGAAAGTACTGAAGATACCTACTTGGCGAAGCATAGGTACAATGAAGAGTTGAGGCTGAAGATGCAGAGGTTCTTTGACGAGGAGTGTCGCGTGTTCTCGCCTGACGACCCTGGCTTGATTGTTTTAGAAGAAGCTTTAAGGAATGTTGATATAAAGGTAACGTAAAGACTAATTTAAATTTGAATAGTTTGTACTTTTCTCTTATTAGTCCAGTGAAATTACAAATAAGGTTTAAAATCAAAATGTTGGCACTTAACTTCGCATTTTTTAAATATAATAAAGTTGAATTTGAGTTGAATTGAAAATGATACAAAAAAAACGTGTAAAGGTTTTCTTCTGTCTGCAACCCCGCGAAGCAAGTGTAGAAGCAAAATTGTCAAAAGCGTTTTTTCGCAATTACACGAAAACGGTAAAAATTGTACATAAAAAAGGTTTCATGATTTCTTTTCCTCCGGTCAAAATTAACCGAGTCATGGAGGTTTTAAATTTAAGGGATGAACGTAAATCCTATGTCCCTCCCAGGGTCTGAAACGATCTTCTTACCAAATTTCATCTAAATCGGTTTAGTAGTTACGGAGCTTATTCGGTACAAAGAAATAAACAAACAAATCATTCCTCTTTATAATAATAGTATTAATAGATAGTAATATATGTGGATGATAAAATCAGCCAGAGCTTTGTAATGCAATGGATAGTTGGCGCTGTTTGTACTTAATGAGTTCTTCTGTAATGGCAAAGTTACACTTTAATAATAATAATTTAAGTTATTCATAATAATATATATATATATATATATATATATATATATATATATATATATTATTGATATGTTTAATTTTAAAGTAATTATTTGATGTTAAAAACAAAATGGCACAAATAAGGGTAATTCCTTGTATGGGATAATACATCCTAGTTCCTACTAATATTATAAATGCGAAAGTTTGTGAGGATGTATGGATGTCTGCATTGTCTGGATATATAGATGTATAGATGTTTGTTACATTTTCACGCAAAAACTTCTAAATGGATTTTAATGAAACTTTACAATAATATAGCTCATACACCTGAATAACACATAGGCTTCTTTTTATCCCGGAAAAATGTACGGTTCCCGTGGGATAGATTTGTTTTTGTTTTTCTAGCTAATATGTATTTTATCCGTCTAGTACTGGTTCCCATATAAAGTTGTGTATGATTATGAGACTTTAATTATTATAACATATATGATTACATTGTGACAGTTATATGTACGTTCATTTTTACTGTTTTTTTTCAGGACACAGACATAGATAGCAGCACTTCGGGAACAAGATAAAATATTTAAAAATTAATTAAATAATTCATTATTATTTTTTATAAATACCTATAGATAGAGTAATAATAGCTTTGGTATGTAGGCAAGCAAGGCAAAGTAGATATAGAGATATTTAAATATTTGATTTACATTTTTAATTCTGATTTTACTTATAATAGCAAATATGTAAAAGCAAAGAAACCCTATGAGCGGTGTAAACGGTGTAAACCATAGCTTTTATAATAATGTAGTTATTTTATTAGAAAACTTTTTTTGGAATTTATACTATCGCAATGATTTTTTCAACCAATATATTTAGCCTATTAGCTAGATATTGAATTGTAAACTTTGTGTATTCGGATAGTAGTTTAAACGTTTGCCAAATGTTGGTAATCGTATTATATTACTATTTAAACAGCATATATTATTTGTGTTGCAGTTTGTTAAAATTAGCAGTAGTTGGATAATTGGATATACGTATAGCAAAATAGAACTAATGCTGAGTCCACACGCTTGCCAAGCCTCGACAAGCCATCACAGATTCAAATATGAATTAGACGTTTGACTTGGCTTCTGTAGGTTTTCAAGCTCTTGTGGCCGAAGTCGGCTTTTCTACACAAATCAAAGAAAATTTCTGAGTGCTTGTGATGCATCTACACGTTTGTGCTTTTGTAGAGATTTGAAGTTTGTGACAATCGTGTGGACCCGGCACAAGAACCGACATGACAACTCATCACCCATATTCTTGCAATATATTTTTATTTTGGAATAAAACAAAACATTTGTGTAAAATGTATTTTAATGGGAATGATTTCCAACATTACAACAACAGGTAAAAACTATTGTATCGATTACATTTTCGTTATAATTGTACCAGCAATGTCGTGTTATTGAAATTTTAGTAAACAAGTAAATTTGTTTTTACCAACATTGTTACAAAATTTATGGTATTGCTTTTATATTATATACAGAGCCGGATTTAAATATTCCGGTTCCGGAGCAAATAAAGGGAGGCCTTCAATATCGCAAATATATTATAGAATAGAAAATTCCATTGTGCCTTACTTTCCGTGCCCTCTTCTAAATCCGGCTCCGATTGTTAAAAAGAAATAATAAAAAGAACATTTAATTTTTTTAATTTACAAAATGTTAATCTGTGAACACATATCTCCTAAAGAGTTAACAGAGAATGGTTATTTGAAAGTTAATAAAAATAAGTTTTTTTAAAGGTAAAATTGTAAAAAAAAGTATTATTTATATAATAAAAGATTAGATTATTGGCACAAACAATTACAATATATAAATTGCCGGTCAAAAATATTGCACATTTTAATTTGGAATGAGATTCGTAACACCAACTCAAATGAAAACGTCATTTGTTCGTTTCTTTTAAATCACATTTTCAGTCATTGATATGACATTGACATAACACCAGTCACCAGATATTAAAAAATAGCACTCACCAGTTGGAATCTTTTAATAATATTCATTGCCAATATTTTTAATTAATGTTTGTAAAAAGTATCATTATTTAAAGACGAGAAAACTGAATATATTTACTATTTAGTATTTAATGGTGGACTATTTATTCAATATACAAAATAATGTAATATACATATAACAATAAAATAACTGTACTTTATATAACAAAAAAAATATATATATTTAGTCTTTTAGTATAAATGTCAAAAATTCCCAATCAATTTTTTTACTAATTTAATTTTTTATATCGTATTTAAAATTATACATAAAAACAAATTAATTTTGACTACTAAATGATTTACAATATTACGTATTTGTGTTATCAAAACATTTTATTCTATATTTAAGCAATGAATATTATTATTAATGATTTAATATATGGAACGGTGATTATATATCTATATACTTAGTTTAACATGTAAAGCGTTTTGTTTTAAACTACACTCGCATACTGTCGGTTACGTTTCTTAGGATAGGACGATCGGAAGAAGAAAGACAGAAATAACAACTTTATTAATTTATCAATAAACCCGTTTTTTCATTATAACAATTTTATATCCTTAATAATTGTTAATTTATGTTAAAAATTACGTCATTTTAGAATTTCATACGAAAGTCATGTGAACAAGCGTGTGCTAGATGGCGTGAGTATCACTTTTTTTTTAATTATTATTATTAATCCAAAAATATTCTGCCTTTCCCTTCAGACCAGTGTTAAAGCTAACCTTAAATTACTTAATATAGAAAAATATTGCCAATCAATAAAATATATTGGTAACATATCTTAAATATAGAGATACATTGGCAAATTAATCAGATTCGCTGCCCTACACCATGGACGTGCTTTAAAAGGCGACCTTAACCTATAAAATTACTTTAATATAAAGTAAATGATTTACATTCAATAATGGGATTGGTGAGAATATCGCGGACATAATATATATTATATAGAATGAAAAATTAAAAAAAATCTGTTTCAAATGTTTTTTTTCTACAATTTTAGTTATTTTAGTTTTTTTTTATTAAAGTTGTATGAAGTTTCAAATGTAATTAATTTTTCTATTTATACTATGTCCACAGATAATATAGCTGCGTCTTAAAATAGGCATAATATATCGTTTTAAATAATTGTCATTACATACATACATGTTTAAATTATTGCTTCACAAATATCAACTAATTGCAATCAAATTTTTTTACACTCCTCAACCCAAATAATATTTAAAAGAAAAATATATCATTTAAAAAAAAAACAAACAATTTAATTTCACATGTACATGCAATAATACAATGACAACAGAAAAAAAAACAACAACATGAGAGTTCTCAATTGAGACAGGATAACGTGTAATATATTGTATTTTTTATAAATTGATATTTAAGAGTAACAAAAAACTATTCATACATAATATAAAAATAGTTGTACCTTTGTCCATTTTTTAATTTAAAAAAATATAAGGCATGCAAATGGCACAATACATAAAATAATAAAAATCAAGCGATTATAATCTGTGCAAAGTGTAATCTACTTTCACATCCAGGACGTACTTACCAGATTAAAAAAAAAAAACAAAACACATTGATAACAAAAATATTAAAACGTCAAAATTTCTTGCATTTTTCAATAACTTAAATATAAACAATTACAACTTATGACATAATAACTTTTATTACGAATTATCGAGTGCCTTTTAAAGTTAAATAAAATTATTAGTTTCTATAGACACTGGAAAGAACCTCTATAAATAATATTAATATATTGCACTTCAACTTAAATTATTTTTTCTTTACATAAATATAACATATGGCTGCGTTTTAAATAAATATATATATAATAATTAAAGCAAAGCTTATATTACATCCACTTTTAACCCAAAACGTCAATCGACACCACGTTTACCCCAGTCTTGATTCTCGATCTTTCTACCCTACGTGCCACCACTACCGCTAGCGTACATCATCTAATCTATTACAACCCTACTATCACTAAAGTTTGATTAAACTCGCTATCAACAATATAGAAAATTCAAGATGTCATTTTGTTTTTTTTTTCAAAAATTTATATGTAAAAAAAACGCTGCACCTATACATAAAGGTCAAATCATATATTTTATAAAAGTATAAATAGTTATTTTTTTAACAAAATGAAAGAGAATGTATATGAAATCTTATTACTTGCTGGAAGAAATTAAATTTGAATGTCTAAAGTCAACGTTACGTACATAAACTGACTAAAAAGAACGGACTTAATGTATCATAAGAATATATTTATTCATCAGAAGCACGTTACCATCGAAAAATCCATGTACAATGGCATTTTTACAGGAAGATCATGAAACCCTTAAGTGTAATACTATAAAAGGGTGAAATTTGAAAGCAGTGCACACACGACACGAAATCCAAGCACATCCCATACATATAATTGACATAGCACGATATACATCACGCGTTGGACAGATAATTGCATTAGTCTATTCGATACAAGAGCAAGCCCAGCGGGAATATAGGAGGTTTAGGCTGAGTTCACATGATCGTACGATATCGCTGATAGCTATATCGAAACGCTCGTCTGAATTAGGCCTTAGAGTGAAGATTGATGTCATTTTTAAATACTAATAAAATGGATTTGTCACTATATTACCACAGTATAAAATCCATACAGAGGGTTTGTTGGATCACCTTTGATTTTAATAGGAATCCCATTCTGTGGCAAGTTACAGTTATACCCACCAACCCGTAAGCCGTCTCCCGACTAACATATAAAATTGAGTATGAAAGTCAGGTCCTGGTCGGCTTCTGCATGCCACAGACGAATGCCTCTTTATTAGCCGATTGTATGAATTAGTGGTCTGTGGTATTACTTTTAAAGAAATAATAATAAAACGTGACATATGTCAGTGGTCAATAACATCAATCGTATGCCCAAATAAGGAATATTAGAATATAGAAGGGTAGATAGCACACAGAAAGGCAATGAGCAGTGACAAGAAAGGAGAAAATTTGCGCCATAACAGAACTTATAATATTCATTTGAAAATTATTGCTATAAATGAATGATATACAAAATATTTCTTTAATTTATATTTTTCAGTGACTAGATAGGTTTATTGTTCCAATGGCGCAAATAGAAGAGGCAAAGAGGTTAAAATACATAGTTACATATACTCTTTTATTCTAAGGCGTTCCTGATATGCATACACCACGTATACAAAAATAAACTGCTCTTCAAATCTATAACAATATTATAATCCATCTGTTCTACTTAACTTTAATTCAATAAAATTTATTATGATTACATAAATTGATTTGTCACGTAAATGATTTATGATAAAATTCTACACTATTACGCCTCATTAGGGCTTTTTACGTGTTTTCTTTTAATTTTATTACATTTAGTATGAACTGATGAAATATTTAGTTACGTCGCAATAACGAAAAAATAACATAATATCATCTTTTATATACAACATCTACATAACATCTTTTTGCAGAATGTCGTTGATGTAGGTATATTATGGATTTAAAGTACGTATTAATATAAATTGTAGATTGAATCAGCACCATTTTTCTGTTCAGTTATAATTTATTTAAACAATTTCGTTTTATTTAATACATAAACTATAATTGCTTCATCTTTGATTTTTATCGTCATAATCCAAGAATATTTTAATAAAGCATGTTTACACATATCATTTCTTACTATTTATTTGCCAAATGTTTGAAGTTTTTAATTCATATAAAAATTGTGAAAGAGCAGATTTCTATAAAAATATTTTTACGTGACAAATCAATAAACGATTGCGTATCTAATTCGATCTTACGCTTCATTGCCTTCGAGTGTCTTAATTTATTTACTTGCAATATTAAATTATTTACTACCATATTGTCATCTGGTAATATAGCGATAGCTCTTCGTAAGCCGTGCTCCTTAGGCTAATACACACTGGGCGTAAGAAACTCGTCCTAAGCGCCCAAAGTGAACACTATTAAAATCCTATGCCTAATTTACCCTATACATTATATGATACTCTACTCGTGAGACAGTCTCAACAGACCTTATATTAAAAAAATCTAAGCATATCGTTATACATCTATCGTTTACACAAACCCAGGCGTGAACATACATACGATTGGAAGAAAATAATCACAGTATAAAATCACAATTGAAAATAAAAGTAATAAAAGTGTCTTTTCGATTTTCTTAAATATCTGAGATCTTTTTACAAAAATATTATACATATATAATACGTTATTGCAAAAATAAATAGTTAAATTACGTTTTATTATAGCTAGCAACATTAACAATTCATTTTGAACGATAAGCAACATTATTCAAAATTACACTTGGTGTTGGCGATGCCATTAATAAAAGGGATAAAGCCAGTGTCAGCCTTAGACGCCGTAACGGTGTAAAGTCTTTATCAAATGTAAATGCAAGCATTAGTTCTTGTAAAGAAATGTATATAATTTAATCGAGCAGAGACTGCTAAATGGTAGCTTTTTATTAAATGGCAACATCAACACTAAAAACTTGTTCTTATACACTAAATGTGATCTCTCTCTGTAGTTAGAGCTATCTAATCTTAAACAGTCTATTTTTTCAAAGTCGCTTTTCGATGATAGTTGTTAAACGAAGCAAACTTTAAAAAAATAACTTGCATTCACAAATCGACCAAACGTCGAACGCAATAGCTAATTATATATTACAAACTATAGAATACTCTATCGCTCCAATTCAATATTACAAAATAATCTTTACGTAGCATTTGATATGTCCACGGTTACCCTTGGGCCAATTGTTTGTCACATTATACGGACATATGATATTGTTTCGATCCTTTTCAAATTTCTAACAACTTTGCTTGTGATTTTCAAATAGCAATTTGCTGCAGTATTACGATTCCAAACAGTATTTATTCAAGCCACTAAAATCTATCACTGATACGTATGTAGATTTGAGCACATTTCCTAAATTTTAAGCATCATTACCTTGCGAAGCTTTACGGCCTTTACGTTGTATACTTATAATCATGATAACAGCCCTGAATCGGTGAGATAGAATATTCTAAGGTTCAGTATAGACGAGAATCAGACACGCCTAGGTTTCCCGGGACCCGGACACTCCGTCGACTTGATGATGGATGCTGCGTACGTCTCCCGCGGTCGCACGGGATCTGACTCCATGAATCCCGGATTTAAGATGATGTTAGGAACTAACTCTATTACGTCCTGCTCCTCTGAATAGTCTGTTATTTAGTTTATAAGTTAGTTAGTTTATAATAGCCAAAGGGGGTAAAATTGGTACAAAGGGGGTGTAAAAGTGGTTATTAAAACGTTTTTGGATTAATACATACCGTCACCATGTGTATATGTGTTTGTTTGATAGTGTGCAGCCCCGCAGTCCAAGCGTGCGTTCCAAGCGAGTGCGATAGAAGGGAAAGAAGAAAAATTTTGAATGAATAAAAATGAATAAATGTAGCTTAATAATCACCTTTGGAAGTTATGCGAAACATGCGAATAGATAAAATCTCTTTGGAAACTCACTCTTAGTCGCTTACGCAAGCTCCTCTTTGTTTAAAGTCGATCAATAAGCTTTTGTACTATAAATAATGTCCTCCCGACCGATTCCGGCCACGGCGGCCAATCTCACAGACTAGCCAACTGCGCAGGAGATATTACAGTGCACAAGTGTACGCGCAGGTACAACGTGCACTCTGTATTCCGGTCACTCTCATACTCCGGTGGAACGAAGGCGCCGACGACGGAAAAAGTCAACGTAATTTAGCGGGGATTCGAACCCGGGACCTTTGGATCTGCAGCTGTACATGCTAGTCATTAGACCACCGAGGCAAATCGGTCAGGAGGACGACTATAAATACTAAGGCGACGAAGTAATTGTCTAAAAGTGAATTTCAATTGCATGTGTTATTAAAATGGAATGTTATCCACAAAATGGGTTATTGTTATAAAATATTAAACTGCATCTACACGCCACAATTGTTAGTGGTAAGTGGCGCAAAAATTAAATTAAACATATGAATATCATACGTAAATTTATTTTTTCTATAAAATATTACTATATAATAGAGCAAAATCGTATGAAAGACATATAAATGATTTAGTAGTACTAGGCAAAGCGATTTATATTATATTAGTTGGAATTTCTGTATACACGAGTTATATCGTCATATAATAACATTCATATTATAATTTTACGTTATAAACCTTTGGTCGAAACAAATTTCACGTTATTCTGTCTCAGCGAACTACATAGCAATGAACTTTGACATTAATTGTACTATTAAAATACTAAATGCATAGTATTTTTGTTTAATCCTAAATCTATTTATAGAAATTTATGCTTGCATTATTAATATTTTCTTAGATTTACACAAATTTTCGGATTTTTTCGCAGGCTTACTTGGATTTTTGGTTCCCGACTTTTCGATATAGCAATCATGGTCACGGGAGAGATTAATATTTTAGACGTCTCAAAGGTCATTATATACTTGTTACAGACAGTGCCTACCCACAAATTTACAAAATGATTTCAAAAAAAAACCTTAGTCTCTAGTAACCATGATAGCTGTAAATCATTAGAAACGTCGGAAACCAAAAATCAAGTAAGCCCGTGAAAAAAATCCGAAAAATAGTTTTGTTTAATAGTAGTAATAGTTTTGTTTAATAGTAGTAATAATAATAAAATAGTTTTGCATTATTAATTTAATTCTTTGGTTAAACCACTAAATCATTATTTCGGTGCGAAAGTAGAAAAGGCTATTGTGTTCGTGGTCCAAGAATATCGAGTGGTCCTACAGTCATAAGAATACGTACGCGAAGGCTATTTTATCTATACTGATTAGTATCCTAAGAGATTATATGAAAAAAAAAATTATACGATTATCTATATCTACTGAGCAGTAAAAATTTATATATATGTTCGAAATCGCTAATATGAAAAATTTGGAATGTATATAAACATGTGAAGAATCATATTCATACACTCATGGAAAATGTAAAAAAAGCATCTTGGCAAGAATTTATCGTATACTGAATAAAGAAAAAGCTCTAGCTCCTCTATATAAATATTGCTATTTTAAAACCAGATAAATAGTCTGGATATTTTTTAATCTTTTAAAGATTTTATAATCTAAAAAAAGCTATTTAATGGAATAATATTAAAATATCTAACACTATCACCACTTCTAGCATGAAGCCTCTACTTATACTAATATCTAATAGAACATATCCCTTGTGGTAACGTATTGAGATAAATTCTCTACCTAAAAGTTTCTACTGATTATTTCATCAAATCCAAGTGTTATAATTGACACATAAGTATTTGCTTTGGTCCAATAAAATATAAAGTCTAAAGATGGTCATATTAACTTAACTGAATTATTACATTTTTAAACAGAAGAAATAATGCGAATTATGTATTAAATATACGATATAAACTTAAAGTTAAAACACCAAAAAATTCTGAGATTATATCTCAAAATATCAGAATTAAAAATAATATAATACTTTCTTAGATTTACGCAAATATTTGACATTTTATATGAAACTATTATTTTGGATTTTGTCGCGGTTTTTTTTAATTTTTTGGTTCCCGAAGTTTCGAATGCTTTAATGCAAAAATGGTCACGGAATGACGATACGGAAAAGATAGTTTAATTCAAAATAAAAATTAAAGAAATTAAAAATAAACAATAATCAAAATTCAATTTAAATTAAAATTTCATTATTCCTTAGAGATAAAAAATAATGTTATCAGTTAAAACGAGATTATTATATTGTTTTTTGGTATTTTCTTATACTTAATAAAAATCGCGTAGCACCCATTTTCATAATAGCGCAAACAAGCTAATAATTGAACGTTTTTTATATATATTTTCTTTTTTATATAAACTCTACTTAGTCATAATACTAATTTTATTTTTGTCTTGTAATTTGAATTATTGGCACTTTAATTCTTACCTTAAGGAGAAGGATCTTTTAGAAACTAATTTATTATGTAACATATCAACTATAATTGAATTATATTCGAATTTAAATCAGTGTGAAAATTACGTGGTACAAACCAATTTATAATCATAGTAATTTATATTCTAAAATATTTTTTTTCTAATAATATAACAATAATATTGTTTTAATATTTTAAAATACTATATTAGAAAAAATTGCGCTAAGCTTCACTAACCTATGAAATTTTATTATAAGTTGAAATTTCTTTTACGAAGTCATATATTATTCAATTCCGACCCAACATATGAGTTTAAATTATTTTAAGATGACACATTAAATTGTTCACGGTTTTATTTGAAAATAGACACGAGACCGCCAGCGCAATGGGATGTTAAGAAAAACACCATCAAATATAACCTTATCTATAACCTTACCTAGGTACATATTTTATGAGCCAAGTAATAAAAATAAATGATCCATAAGTCATTTAAAAAAATATTCTTATCAAGCTGAATTCTCATAAGTAATTTGGTTTTGACGAGACGCTAAAGTTTTCGGAAGAAAACTTTTATGACTAAATTTAAGTTAATGGGTAGTTAATAGAGGGTACAGGTGTAAAATATGTCGAATGAGTTGGACTGAGAAAACGCGCCATTTGAATTGTAGGAAAATGTGGCCTTTAAATTGTGCATATATTAATTAATCAACACTAAAAAAAACTAATTAGGACAGTTAGTATAACCTGTGAAGATCTAACGAGAAAGTTTAGATGGCCTCTATATAAGGCACTATGGAAAGTTAAAATTTTTGCGAGAAATATAAATACAAAGGTTAACCTGACCTTTTAACTGAGTCTGTGGTAGCATTTCATATTAAACACGATTTTCATTATTATGCCTAATGGCCAAGGGCGTTATTTATACAGCTTAGTTAGTTATTACAACATTGCTCTATCTTATTGGGCATTTTTAAAACTGACATTATCCAAAATGTCATATTTATCACCTTACCCACAACATATTAACAAACGATAAAAGAAAATAGTATGACCAAACCATATCTGCCTCTATGTGTAAGTAAAGAAAATATAATATGTAAGACAAGTTTCAAGGCGTTTTGCGCTGACGGCCTCATATATTTTCATCAAACCGTTTTCTAAAATGCATTACGATATACCGCAAATTCATGTTTATTCAAGAAATCGACCTACGTGTCATAGGTCGCATTAATTGAAACACACAAGTCAGTAGTCCCACCGTACATATTCATATAGAATTTGATTTTCATTTCTACATCACACGCGGCACAAACCGCTCTGGGATTTTAAAATAGATTTACGTGACAATGGTTTTTTAAATCATTGTTATGATTTCATTCATAAACATACTCTCATATAGATATTGTGTTGTCATCTTATGTAATATAATTCGTGGGTACAAAGGTAAAATATGCTAAAAATAATGTGAAAAAGGTAAAATTATTAAAAATTACATCTAAAAGAATGATATTTATGTAATTTATAATAATTAATAATATAGAAATTAAAATGAGAGCAACACACGTTACTAATAAATAACTTTTCAAATATTTCGAGTAACACCTTAAATAGAATACAAAATCAGATTCAGAATTCACGGATAAAGATAAAAATAGACAGGCTTTACTTTTGTTCCCACAATATACCTATTAGTCAGAAATTGACGTAAATTATGTTAGGAGCAGAAATTGCTCAACGTGTCATCATATCATCAAATATCAAATGTTCATATATGTAGAGTAAACCTGCAACCTTAGCTGGTTCATGGCCCATGGCCATCATCACGGTCCACACTCAATGAAACAGAAAGTAGAGTCGTGGTAGCGTGGACCGGGTGGTCGGAGGCTAGGGCTCACCTGATCTCCTCCATTCCCGGCAAAGGACCGCGCAGGTGCCCGCCGCGAGGACCGCGAGAGTGCCCATCACTACGCACACCGCGGCCACCCAAGTGCGAGTGTCGAAGGACTCCGCTCCCTCTAGGAAGTGTTTGTATAACTCTGCGGATATGTTTAAGAAGTGATTAATTCCCGTTTTTATTGATGCACTATTTACTGTGACGATATATAAGGTGTAGGTACCTAAGTTAATGTTAGCATGAAAAAATAATATTACAACGATAACTTCTGAACTTTTACCTTACTTGTCTATGTAATATCCTTTCTCGCCATTATATCATTACTACAGAGTATCTATAGACGAACGTACACGTAAACAGGTATTACTACCCTGCTAAGTTTTTTGTTAACTTATTTCTTGTATTTCTTTTGTAAGTGCAATAAAGAATATGTACTTATTCTTGTATTCAGCCCTTTTTTTCTAGCTTCCTAATGCTGGGCATGAGCCTTCTCTTACTGAAAGGAGGATCAGGCCATAATCTACCACGCTGGCCAAGTACGGGTTGGCGCAACAATAATAATGAACACATTTAATTTTCTTGGAGACTGGGGCCTAACCTAAGAAAAATTATCAAAATGCCTTATGAATCAAGAACTTTTCATTACTATATAATAAACTAATGGCAGTTAAGATGGTTCTAGGGTTACCTCCCAGCTATATAAGACTAATATTGTGGTCAATATCATTTTCGCCACCACAGTTACAGAGTTATTACATATTTCAGCACAATTATAAACAAAATCTCGTAAAAAGTTTAGTTTTTTTTTAATAATGACGATAAACATTAAACGTATGCGACAGTTTAACTTTTCACAGTTTTAAAATCAATTACATTACAAATGAAAAAAATACGTTTACATAAATATATTAGATTTTATAGATTTTTTTTTAATTTAAAATATGTCTTTACTTACAAAACCACATACTTAGTTATAAACATTTTAATGTCTATTTTTTGTAACAATCAACGAAAATGATGAAAATGACATATTTCTAGTAACTTAAAAAGTATATTATAAATTAAAACATAATTCAAAGTTAGGGGACACAGAGTTCCCTTTGAATATTGCATACACAACTTAGATATGAAAACCTGAGTAAATGCTATTTCATAACTTTGATTTGATGAGATATGAAAAGAGTGAGATATTTTCTTTTTTTTTTTATTTAAAAGATATAGTCACGAATATTAATACTAATATTATAAATGCAATCATGTTTGTCTGTTTGTTACCATTTTTCGCTTAAATGGCTAAACAGATTTTAATTAAATATGTCAAAGACGTAGATTATATCATGGGGGCACACAGCCTATCTATACGACTCGCTTATCATACGAGCTGAGCTGCGGGTACTTAATAACTACTTTAAACTTTTGCTATATAGAGCATAATAAATAATCATATATTATTATGGCATATAAAAATAAAACAGACAATTATAAAATAATTAAATTTTTATTTTGTCCTACTAATATTTCTCCGTCTCCAATTTTTTCTTCCCTTCAAAACTAAAGTTATGCTTGCGCAATCTCTTTTACTGCCCATACCCGATTACGCCGATGTATGCTATTTGGATGTGACAGAGGAGCTACTGAATAAACTTGAGCGTCTCCAAAATCTCGCCATACGCTTTATCTATGGTCTGCGTAAGTATGATCATGTCTCCGACTTCCGAGCTCAACTTCAATGGCTCCCTATCCGCCTTCGCCGTGATATGCACATCCTTTCGTTCCTCTTTAATATTCTTCACAATCACAATTTTCCTTCATACCTTCGTTCCCGATTTAATCTGCTTCCGACTCCTTCGCGTTCCAGGCGACCCTGCGTCACATCGATGCTTGATATACCGAGAAGTAACACAAAGTTTTTACAAAACTCTTTCTCGGTACGTACTGCAGTGTTACGGAACAAACTCCCTAAAATCCTTCAGGAGAGCCCTTCTACAGCTGCGTTTAAAGCCAACATAAAAAAGCATTTTCTAGCTCAATCTTGAACTACTTATATATTTTTCTGTTTAGCAATCATGTACATATATGTTTATGTATATATTTATTTATATGTACATATATATTTATATATATTTTTGGTATGTATTAGATAACATGTTTATATTATATATTTATAATTGTATTTATGTATTTACTTATATAATAATAAGTATTTAATTAAAATGTGTATATATAAATTTAAGTTTTATTTATGTTTTTATTAGTTTACATTTTTCTCTGCACTTTCTCTTTCTGTCCCGCTACTTAACACTATTTCCCACATACATGGGTTGACTGGAAAAGATCTCTTATAGAGATAAGTCCACATTGGTCCACGTCTCTTTCAATGTATTTTTTTATTACTACTTTTTTGTGCAATAAAGAATATAATATATATTTATAATGTAAAAGTTTATAAATATGTTTGGATGTTTGTTACACAATCTCATAGGAACGGGGTAACGGACCAGAGTGACATCTACACATATAACAAAATTATAACTGAGTTGAATCTGTACATTAAATATTTTTTGGAAAATCTTACTGAAATAGTCATTATTATCGATACAGAGGCCGAATCTATAGTTTTTAGAATTTTTGTCTGCCTGTCTGTCTGGAAATGCATCACAAGAAAACTACTGGACAGATTTTGATGAAATTTGATATGATAATAGCTGGTTATCTGGGTCAACATATAGGATACTTTATATTGCTAAACAATATCTGATGTCTGTATGTTTGTTACAACTTCTCGCTTACGGCTTGGCAGATTTGGATGAAGTTTAGTATACAGATAGGCTAATATTAGGCACCTAGGGACATGCCCGAGCAAAGCTAGGGTAACTCATTAGTTTAAGATATATTTTTTAAAGAAACTACAATACATTAGTAGAAATAAAGTTATTGTGTTACACACAAAAGAATTCTATTTTATACAGCATTGGTCGGTGTTGCGAACAAAGCAAACAAACGACGACGTAATCGAGTTCAACTGTTATACACGGAGTGACCGAAGCCAGCTAACTCGTAATACGCTTACTGATTTACAATACGCTCGAGTAGATAAAGGGATCAGTTACTGCATACTTTACATTTTGTATCGTTTATCAATATAATTTAATGGAATTTTAATTTTATTTCAACACTAGCGACGCGCCTTTGCTTCGGTAAGTCTGAAGGCGCGTTTTTCGTAATATTTACATAGCTAAGTTTCATTTCAATAGGTCAAGACAATCCTATGGGGTATGAATTGGAGTAGTGGACAGTTACTAGTAGGGCATTAGAAACAGTGAAACAGTTTTCATTATTTTCACTAATCTAATATATTTAAACGAGCAATGCTGGTATATATATTTATATATTATGTATATAATCTCAATTTCAGAAACGGCTTCAATGACTTTCATGAAATTTAATATACACGGGGTTTCGGGGATCGATAAATCGATCTAGATTAGTTTTATATCTGGGAAAACGCGTGTTTTCGAGCTTTCATGTGGTCTTGATTTGCATTATTCCACGCAAAATATGGTCGCTAATTCGCACTGTTCGCAATGTGTTTTCGGCCAAAAACTCCGAGCAAAGTTCGATAGCCCAGGTACTAACTGTTAAACAGACAGAGCCTAATTTGTTTTTGAAAGTCGCCTAAAGTCCAGTTTGTATTTAGCCAGTGTGGGTGGACTACCGCCTAATTCCTCGCATGAAGTTAGGCTCGTACCCATCAGTGGGACGTTAAAAATAAATTATTCTTACTAATGTTTGCCCAGTGGTCGAAATTCGATCATAATGAATAATAATTATTAAAAAAACCCGACCAACTTTTATCCATATTCATCAAACATAGCTAAGAACACTCCCGACTAATTCACCTTTAAAACAAAACAAAAAACAAAATCAAAATCGGTTCAAACTAAGGAGAAAAAGGCACTGAACTGTTTGTCTTTGCCTAAATATATATAAAAGATAATAATATTGGACCAATTACAATAAAACACAGGTGATGTTGTAGACAGAAACTAGTACGAAACTTAAGTCGTTTACACAATGTTGGACAAGTTCCAAGAACTACAGTTTTAAGAGCATGTATGTAAATATACATAAATTAACTAAAATACTACCTATCTAACTAAATATATTAAAATCAATTAGCAAGTTGAATAAATTCTATTTCTAGTACCTATAAGTTATTCTCATACCGCTATTCATAATCTCTATATCTTCAAATTATTTAAACATAGTGAATCTTCAAAGTTCAGTTGGTCTCTTAGTATGTTACGCTATATTTATGCTGATCTTTTATCGATGCTTTTTAGCACGTTTTCAACTTTTATTATTTTCTTAGAAGTCGATTTTAACATATTATGTTGTTGTGGTATCTTATCTGTATAAATAAAAGTGAATGTTCGTATGTTTGTCCTCTGTGCGTTCCTAAATCATTGATTTGATTATGATGAAATTCTTGTGGCTTATTATGTATACGCCTACGAAAGTACCTGGATAAAAAAAACGGTTTTTTGGACGTAATCCTAAACCATTCAAGTTTAAGAGAGAAGCGAGGTTAAGTCGCTAGCAATATGATATAGTTTTGTACCATCAAGCTGATCTGATAGTGCAGTCAGGAGGTGGATCTCCTCTAAGCTATTCTTAGTAAAACCTTCGTATTTGGATTCATTTCATTATATAATTATTATTTAAACTTCACCTCGATTTCATAAAAATAAATGCTACATTTTTACATAAACGCTAGAAGTAGCCGTAATAGGGCTTATTGTCACATGAATATTACTGAAGGGCAGAGATTTCGTAAAGTAAGATAAACTTCTTTTAACTCTGGTAAAGCAAAGTGTTTCCGCGTGATAGGGAACATTTTTTTAAACCAATGGCCGGTTTAAAATATGCTTGTAATATTTTAATACTAAAGATCTCTTAGGTAGTGGTAGCCCAGTGGTAACACGTTCACTTGAGAAACCGAATGAAGCGGGTTCAAATCCCCGGTCTCATACCTCTGATATTTTCATGTGCGAATCATTTATAGCATGCTTTTCATTTATCTTACGGCGAAAGAAAACATCGTGAGGAAACATGCATGTCTGAGAGAAAGCAAGTTTTCGAAAGATATGTTAAATGCGAAGTCTGCCCAAGGTCAAGTCAAGGGAGGCTCGTGTCCAGCAGTGGGACATTAAAAAGGGTTGAGTATAAAGAGTCTTTTGAGATTACTGGTTCACAAAGTAATAGTGTAAGGCTTAACACATTTTGATAACGCACCTGCTTCCTGATCACTGTACAGAGTAGTGGCGAGGACTTCCACGGGCGGTCCAGGGCCGAGGACGTTGTTGGCCCACACTCTGAACCAGTATGAGGCATTCGGCTCCAAATGGTACACGTCGATTTGTCTCTGTAATTTATAGCTTTTCATATACATTCATCTTTCATATTCAAGGATGATCTTATAATTTTTGTAATTATACAATAATATTACTAAGTTAAGCATGTTGTAAATTGTCACTGTTAAATAAAATTATGCCGTATGTCTGTTATTTTTGCAAAAATACCATATGAATATATGTATAATATATTCATGGTTGTTTCTAAAATGACTACTAATACTAAAAACTATTTCGCATACCATAAAATGATCCCCGGGTTAGGGATACGGATAGACAAAAGTTTTATAAATGAAGAATAGAATAACTTAATAATAAATTAAAACATCTACAATATTTTACTTCTCAGTTGTGTTGACGTTTGATCAAATTAACGGGGATTGTGAAATATAAGTTCGTATGAAGCTTAAATGCATACATTCATTCCTGATATCTACAGAAAGCAAACTAAACTTTTAGATGATAAAAGTGCACACAAACCAAACAGGTCTCAGTTTTACAAAACAAGACAATGATGTTAAATCTCTCTTGCCTAATGAATGTAACTTGGCCTAACGATTCACGTACAACGGAAATACGCCGCAAACTTTGCTGAGTAAAAACTGTTCATAGCACAAAGCCAAAACGAATGCTAAGAGAATCTAGTTGCTCTTAATTTCACTCTATAACTATTTTAAGATTGCGGAGATTTAGAACTTTATTGGAATCTTCTACATCCATTATATATTTAGATAATAGCAAACGTGTGTTTGATCATTTCTTACTTAGCTACAGATTACTTGACTAGTATATGGCCAGATTGGAATATTTTCCGATCATCTAGTGATATCTCAAATAGTTTCTGAATATCGTATGTCAAGAACAAAACTTAGGTAGGTCTGACACGTTAGTCTCTTTGTGTTTCAAAGTGCTATTCGAAATACCACAAAGCCCCAATACAACTCGTCAGTACAATCTTTATGATGCGTTTGAAAGAATGAAGTATGAATCAAGTTTTAGATGCCCAAAAGTATCCATGCTAACGATTTTTGCACACATTTAAAAAAAATATGTTTGGTTAGTTTTACCGAATTAGGACTAATATGGTTAGGGCTGATTGGCCTCCAGGCCTCCAGGCTACCGTTCACGGGCGCCGCAGACCGGTACTGCGCTGTGAAGTCCATTATAGGATGTCCACCATCACCTGCCACGTTCCATAGTATTATTGCGAGGATGGTCGACGCGTGGACTGTCACGTTCACTAATGGAGGAGGTTCCGCTGTGAACAAAGAAAAATGATATTATTAATTATTAGGATTTTGTTTATATTCGATACTCATACATTTAAGTCTTAATAATTGTTTCTTTGGGAAGAAGGAAAGATATTTGTGAATTGATGATTTTACTTTCATTAATCCGTATTTTAATATTATAAATGTGAAAGTTTGGATGTCTGTTACTCTTTCACGCCAGAACGGCTGAACTGATCTGGATGAAATTTGGTACAGAGATAGATTATACTCTGGAATAACACATAGGCTACTTGTTATCTCGGAAAAATGTACGGTTCCCGTAGTATAGGTTTGTTACTGCTTTCCTGGCGAACCCAGGCGAAGCGAGGGTGAGCCGCTAGTATAAAATAAAATATTAAGGCACTAAAATCTTAACAAGACAAAGTCGAGTCTGATCTATAATATTTAATAATACTCTTTTCATATACTTAGTCATTTTATCTTATAATTTGCAGAATTAAAGCGATGATATATCTCAAATGGAAATATCAATCTTTCATTATTCCTTTAAAAATATATCCAAATATCAAAAATATGTCCAAATATTTTTCCATAAAATATTAAAATGCAAATTTAACTTGAGCTAAATGCAGCTAAATAGAAATTAAAATAAAAAGTTAAAATTAAAAATCTTCCTTAATGACGGTCACCTTGCTAACGAGACTATCTGTGCAAAATAACAAGATAACGACTGCATTACGAGTACCTAATGTCTGCACAAATTACAAACAAAATGTAAGCGTATAGGTAGGTACCTACTTAAAGGAAAGAATAATGGCATTGTTGTATAAACTACATTGGTATTGTGTCTAGCATATACGGCTGCATATTAAGAGGTTGGGTTCGAGTCCTGGGTCGGGCATAAATTACTAAGGTTTTTCTATCACGAAATACTAACATTAACGGGTTAAAGAACACATAGCTGATATGAAGCATCCTTGCAATACTATGTCTGCAGTTTGTCACCATAGTCCGCAACGCTCAAGCCATTACATTAGATTCAATAAACTACAAATCCTCGCGAAAGAACATCGTTATCGAACTAGAATAGTTCAGGAAGTTATTGAAATTAAAAAAACATTTAAATTTCAATAGGGAAGATGGCTGGGTGCTACCATTATCGTGGGATTCTGTAATTATAATAATAAAATCAAATAGCAAAAACACACATAATAAGGCCGTTAATGTAGTCGTAGCATCTTAAGTCACTTTTGTGACCATGATTGCTGTAAAGCATTCGAAACATCGGGAAAACAAAAATCAAAATAAATTTCAAAAGATAAACGTTAATATTCGCGTAAATCTAAGAAAGTGTTACACGAAATACTAATTTGAATTAGGAGGTCAGAGTTGAGATTTTGACCCTTAGAAGCCAAGCCTCAAAAATCACGTTAAGCTGTCGGCTCCCAATATTTTCAAGTTGTCGTCCCATTGGACTGTGAGAGTAAAAATAAGAATATAATTTCTATTATATATAATATAATAGATATTCTTACCTAAACACTGCTAATCGTCAGGCAGCCAGTATGCTTTTTACTCACTAATCATGTAGCTTCATCAAAATATTATGTAGACAAATTTGAAAATTACATTTCTCGTTTTAAGAGAAAGAAAATTTATTTATAACATCCACAAATAAATTACTAATTTCATATCTTAATTGCTCTTTCCCTGGGTAACTTAGGGATAAAATAAATTCAAATCCTTTATACAATGTTGGTTTTGCTGAAATACACTTTATTCTTCGTCAAAAATTGTTCTAAAAAAGAGTAAAAAATTCTTGTCCTGAGAAGACCTACCAAAAAAAACTGCGAAACGTTCTAATAAGTTTGGAAGGAGAATGAACTAAACACCTAAACAAGTTGTCTTAAAATTACCCGTGAGGGTGTGCAACCTTTATCACATCATAATAATTACTCAAATCATATGTGTTCTGTAAAAAAACACTACACTGATATATGTACGTATGTACGTGGCAAACTTAATAAATATAAATATGTTGGGACATTAACACACAGCACCATCTACTCGTAGTTCCATGGTAAGCTACGAGGCTTGTGTTATGGATACCAGATAGTTGATACACTACACATATATGAATTTGAATATATACATATTATAAATAAAAACACCCATGACTAGAGTACACGCATTCGTGCTCATCACACAAATGAAAGCCCCCGGCGGGACTCGAACCCGCGACCGCTGGCACAGCAAGTAGGGTACTACACACTGAGCCAAACGTGTCGTCTTATATACTTGCTTTTCATCGCAGTCTAAAAACGTTACATTTTTGACAGTATCTTGTTGGTACAGATGTTTTCAGGCAAGTAGTAATGTAATCTAACGAGTCGACCGCAAATTTGCACGCAAAACGAAGAGTGACAAAATAATTAACAATGGGAATGTAAAGTCATTCATCCAAAGTAATCAACTCGGCGAAGCATAACCCCTTGAATGTTTTAATACGCCTAAAATAAAACATGCTGACAAAAGAGGCGCTTTGTAGGAGAACGATAAAAAACAACATCGCCATATTTCATTATTGAAGTAGAAAATTGAAAAATAGGACTGATTGGAAAACGAGATTATATTAGGACACTAGCGACTCACCCTCGCTTCGCTCGGGTAACGTACCTAGAGACGAAGGTACGTTTTAACAGTTAGTATGGAATAGACAGATTATATATCTTACAATATACAATGTATGTCATTCATAGCTGTTTTTTTTTGATTTTTCCGATTTATTGTGACACACCCCTCACAAAACAAAAAAAGAACCATTCAAATCGGTCCAGCAGTTTTTGAGTTTTAGCGAGACTCGACGACGAACGGTAATTGATTTTTATATATATAGAAGATTATATGTCCTACGATACTCTTATGAAATGTGGTCGAATTTTGACCATAATCATTTTTTATTGATTACACTAAAGCTCTTTAATAGCTAATAAGCAAAGAAAAAAGGAAACAGAGGAGGAAAAGGTACTAAACTGTTTTGTCTTTGCCTATATGTATTCAGAGATTATAGGATGAATCAAACGCACATTACGCATTCACGATAATTTTACCTCAGATCTTCGTCATTTATTAACCGATTTGGACAATTTTTGTTTTGTTTGAAAGGGTATACTTCCAGATTGGGCCCATTTAAATTTCAAAAAAAAAATACCACCCCTAAGGGTGGAAAAATAGCTAATGATGGATTTAACCTACTTCTAATTGTCATATTGACTTGAAACTTTGCAAGTGTTTCTATTTCCGTTGATAGTACAGTGGTTCGGTATTGTTGACCTGATCTGATGGTAAGGCCAGAAGGTGGATAGGTGGAACTCTTCAACGGCTAATAGTAGATACTTTGAGTTTGGGCTTATTTTGTTTGATTCGACAAGCCTAACACGTTAGAATTCTTACTTTGCTACTACTGTCTACACTAAAAAGGGAAAAATAAAAACTTTTTAACAAAAAAATAAAAACCGACTTCAAACAAAAGCACTAAAAAGTAAAAAATAACTGATTGGTAGTTTTCATTTACTATACATACCTAATCAAATATTTTCGAAGTCGGTGTGCTTTGGCTAAGTAATTAAAGCCTACCTATTAAATACATACCTAATCAAATATTTTCGAAATCGGTGCTAGCCCATATAAAGCAAAGCACACCGACTTCGAAAAGACTGTGTAAAGGACTTTATAGGTACTATAACTATGGACAAACACATAAAAAACAGGATAAATCATATTAATCATATTAAATATTTACACCTGTAACTTGCATAAATTTAAGTACCTACACGACATTACTTACCGGGAACTTAGGAATAAACTTGGCATAAACAAACTATCTAAACTATAAGGCGGTGGTAGGTCAATAGTATCGCGCTTGCTTGGAAAAGCAACTGAAGCGGTTTTAAATCCCGGGTATCGCACATCTGATATTCTCATGTGCGAATGATTTTTTTAACATAATTATTATTTATTTGCCTTACGGTGAAGGAAAACATCGCACGGAAACCTGCATGTCTGAGAGAACCTAGCAATTTTTCGAAAGAAATGCAAAGTCTGCCAAGCCGTACTTGGCCAGCGTGGGACCTGATCTCCGCATTGAAGGGAGGACTGTGCTCAGCAGTGGAACATCAAAAAGGGCTGAAGGGCTGCTCCTTGACTTCTAAATAAACTATCATGTACGAACGATGAAATGATAGAGTACTCAATAAATAAATAAGGTCTGCAATATGAATTTGAATATTGTTAAGAAAAGAATGACAAAGTCCCTAAGGACAATTTGTAATTATTGACATTTTTTTTTAATTTTAGCAGGATGGTTTATAAGTTCCATACTGAAAATCATGTGAAACAACACTATCGCGGTTACGCCCACTTGAGCATACATATTTAATATGCTTACTTTTTCGAGTTAAGAGCGTTCTTCCGTTTTAGAGGTTAGAAAAAATAAGGGTTAGGAAAGAAAACTTTAAATAAAGCTATAATTAGAATTTTAGCCGTATTCGAGTCCCTACCTACATTCACTTTTTATTGATGTTGAAAGATAAATTAGTTGTAGGTAATTCTTTAAAACCCCATGCTGGGCACGGGCCTCCCTTCAATGCGAAGGCGATCGATTAACGAACTTCACATGTTTTTCGAAAACTTGCTTGATTCTCTTAGACATTCAGGTTTCCACACGATGTTTTCCTTCACTGTAAGACGAGTGGAAATCATGTTGAAAATTCCTTTTCTAAGCGAGCATGTTTCCACTGGACTACCTGACCTTTTTTTTTTTTTTTTTTTTTTTTCGTCAGGAAACCCTGTTGCCGGGTACCCGCCGCCTGGGGAAAACGACAGGTTATGTGGGGCTCCTGCCGCGCAAAGATGGTAAACGCGCGGCAGCTTACCCACTAAAACCTGACGGTGTCCACCTTACTCGCCTTGGGGTCGGGGCCACGGGAACCAGGAAATCATCCGCGACCCCGACGGCGATTGCCCA